CACCTGCTCTCCTCCACCCACCCTCCTCCTCTCACCTTCCTCCACCTGGCCTCCTCCTCCCACCCTCCTCCACCCGGCCTCCTCCTCCCGTCCTCCTCCACCCACCCTCCTCCACCTGCTCTCCTCCACATGGCCTCCTCCACACGGCCTCCTCCACCTGGCCTCCTCCTCCCACCCTCCTCTACCTGGCCTCCTCCTCCCGCTCTCCTCCACCCACCCTCCTCCTCTCACCTTCCTCCACCTGGCCTCCTCCACCCACCCTCCTCCACCTGCTCTCCTCCACCTGGCCTCCTCCTCCCACCCTCCTCTACCTGGCCTCCTCCTCCCGCTCTCCTCCACCCACCCTCCTCCTCTCACCTTCCTCCACCTGGCCTCCTCCTCCTCCCGCCCTCCTACACCCGCCCTCCTCCTCCCGCCCTCCTCCACCTGCTCTCCTCCACACAGCCTCCTCCACCACCTGGCCTCCTCCACCCGCCCTCCTCCACCTGCTTTCCACGCGGCCTCCTCCACCCGCCCTCCACCTGCTCTCCTCCATGCGGCCTCCTCCACCGCCCTCCACCTGGCTCTCCTCCATGCGGCCTCCTCCACCTGCCCTCCTCCGCCCCACCTCCTCGCCTGCCCTTCTCCGCTTGCCCTCCTCTATGCGGCCTCTGTCTCTGCTGACGTATCTGACCATTGCTGGACCCCCTCTCTAAGGCCATCTCAGCCATCGCCCCCGAGAGCCTCATTCTCTGCTGCCTTCCTGGACTTCAGGTGCCTCTCCATGGGTCTCAGCAGAGTCTCGCCGCCTCGTGGTCAACGGCCCTGGGGAGGCAGGGCCAGGATGGAGCTTGTGCAGGGACCTGCTGGGTCCCGTAGCCTATGCAGCCCCTCACTTGGACGGTTCTCAAGGCACACAGCACACTCTACATCAGTACAACCATTGCGGCTCCCAGGGAATTGGGGGATGACAGGGCCCAGAGAGGCCAGATCTTCACCCAAGCTCACTGGGACTCAGCCCAGCAGGTGCCGCCCCTCCAGGGTAGCCATGACCAGCCCCCGCCGCTGGGGGTCCCTGCTTTAGGCCTGGCTGGGTTGCTGTGACGTTGCCTGACCACGCCCCACCCCCACCCCCACCTGGTGGGGTCCCTGTGTGCCCTCAGCCTCACATCCCAGGGGTCTAGGGGTCTTCCCGGTCCTTGCACTGTGGTGATCCTGGCCAGTAAGCCTGGGCTCCTCCCGGGCCCACCTGTGAGGGAGGACAGTCCTGGGGGTGGGTTCCGCATTCTGGCCTCCCCCAGAGCCTCCCCAACCTAGAAGGTACCGGCATCTGGCCCAGGAGCCCAGCGCTTACGCTCCAAAGCCAACCCCCGTGTCAGGCCCTTCCCACACTGACAGCAGGAGCGACAGATGCTGAGCTGAGTGGTGGAGGACGTGAGGCTTGGCCTTCCTCCCCGAGTGCGCTGCTCCAGGGTTGGGCTGCGAGCAGCCTGCAGCCCCTTCACACCTCGGCAGCTCCTTAGCTCACACGGCAGGAAGCGTGCTTGTTGCTCAGCCTGGATCAGAAGCCGCAAACAAACAGCCCTTCCGATGGCAGTGGGTGCTGTGGGTAACACGGCTGCCAGAGGTCTGAGAGGCCCCCCTCAGACTGAGGTCTCTCTACAAGGTCCCTGAAGCTCAGGGAACCTTGAGGCAACATGCTCAGCCTGGTGGCCTGCATGGAAGGGGAGGCGGGTAGGGGCGGAAGCCCCGAATCCTCACGTTTGTGGGAAGAGGAGGTGGTTCAGGTCCCCCTGTTTTGCAGGGAGAATGCTGAGGCCCAGCAAGGCCAGCTCACTCACGCACCCCAGTGGACGCTGACTTCAAACCCAGAAGCCCCCACCTGGTCAACCTGCAGTGAGGTCTCAGCACAAACTTCTCTGCGTATCTCCCTCCACATTCAAGGCACTGGGGAGACTTGGGGTGTTTGGAGAGAACCGCTGGGGCCAGGCAGCCACGTGGGGGGGAGGCACGGGCGCTGCATGGAGGGCCTGTCGGGGTTGGGTCCAGCCCCGTCCACCCCGCTGTACACCGGGCCAGGCAGCCACGTGGGGGGAGGCACGGGCGCTGCATGGATGGCCTGTCGGGGTTGGGTCCAGCCCCGTCCACCCCGCTGTACACCGGGCCAGGCAGCCACGTGGGGGGAGGCACGGGCACTGCATGGAGGGCCTGGCGGGGTTGTGTCCAGCCCCGTCCACCCCGCTGTACACCGGGCCAGGCAGCCACGTGGGGGAAGGCACGGGCGCTGCATGGAGGGCCTGTCGGGGTTGGGTCCAGCCCCGTCCACCCCGCTGTACACCGGGCCAGGCAGCCACGTGGGGGGAGGCACGGGCACTGCGTGGATGGCCTGGCGGGGTTGTGTCCAGCCCCGTCCACCCCGCTGTACACCGGGCCAGGCAGCCACGTGGGGGAAGGCACGGGCGCTGCATGGAGGGCCTGTCGGGGTTGGGTCCACCCCGCTGTACACCGGGCCAGGCAGCCACGTCGGGGGAGGCACGGGCGCTGCATGGAGGGCCTGTCGGGGTTGGGTCCAGCCGCGTCCACCCCGCTGTACACCGGGCCAGGCAGCCACGTGGGGGGAGGCACGGGCACTGCGTGGATGGCCTGGCGGGGTTGTGTCCAGCCCCGTCCACCTGCTGTACACCTTGGGCAGCCTTCCTCTCTGGCCTTTGCTAACCCCGTCTTTACAGTGGGAAAAGAGGGTTATGTCTTCGTCCTGCTTCTATCACAGAACAGCCTTCTGGGAGGGCTGCCGGGTTAAATGGGTATTTTTTCAGCCGTGTGAGCCAGGCAGGGGCAGAGCCTGTGCCGCGGGAGCGCTGGTGTCGCTGTCTCCCAGGTGGGGACAGGATTCCAGGAAGGGGCCGTCCACCACCCTCTCACCCTGTGGCCGAAAGCTGGGACCCGGCCAGTGGGAGGGATTTGCCCAGGAATGGGCGTGGCTTGGTCCCTGTCCGGGCATTGCTGCATTCTTGGCCCCGCCCTCAGGAAGCCCTGGAGCCCAGCCCTTGTGTGTGGTGGGAGAGGCCACCTGCTGGAGGAAGGTCAGCCTCGGGTACCAGCTGACCAGCGGCCGGGCCCTGGGGTGGAGGCCTCTTCTCTGTGCCTCGAGGGGAGACAGCATCTAATGTCGCAGCACACGGAGCGCCTCCCTGCACTGTGCCCACACCGGTGGCCCCGGGCAGACAGGATGAGTGCATCGCAGCCCTCCGCCCTCTATCCCGCCGAGCACCGGGCTTCCTGCGGAGGGTCCTCGCCCTGCTGCTGGGCAGGACTGTCACTCTGGCTCTGAGAGCCCAGCCAGCTCTGGCCACCTCTGCATCCTTAGGCTGCAGAATCCTAGGGGAAGAGCAGGGCCTGCTTCTCTGGGGAGCTGTTTTCTGGGAGGAATGGGGTGCCCTCTTGGGTGAAGATGACCCTCTGGATGCCCTCAGAGACCTGGGGCACCCCCATCCAGAGTGTGACGCTGGCCGGCCCAGCCCCTGAACCCAGCTCCCGGGACGTCCTGGCCACCCGCAACACCAACCCTGAAATCAGAGCCCTGGGTTCACGACTCACCTGGCCTGTCCCCGTGATTTAACCTGGGACAGGCAGGTGCCTCTGTGGCCTCAGCTTTGACACCTGTGAACAGGGAGTCAAAATGTTCCACGCAGAGGGGTCTGGGTGAGGCGGGGAGAGGTGTCCGCATTCCCCACGTAGACGCTTACTGAATCGAGCGAACAGATACTGTCATTACCACGAAGGCCATGGCGCCTGAGGGCGTCCAGGTGCCCCCGAGGAAGCAGCTTCAAATGAGGGGCTGCAGCCGTGAGGCACCCAGCACCTCAGGTGTACGGCTCAATACATGGAGCTGACATGATCCTCATTCCCAGGGGTCCTGTTTAGGGTGACTCTGATGCCCCCATCACCCCAGCAACGGAGCCTTAATCAGGGCTTCCTGGACAAAATCCAGGCCTCTCCCCCACCCTCCCTCCTTGCCCCAGGGGCGGCAGGACCCACAGGCAGGGTCTAGGGGGCCACAGACAGAGAGGGCTGGGGCCTGGACCTCCAGCAGGGAGATCCCGGGAAGAGGGACCCACTCGCCGCCCTGGATCAGGAAATCCCGGCTGGCAGGGTGCCACCACCTCCCTGCCACCCCATCCGTCACAGCCAGACACTTGCCATCCTGCCAAGCTGGGGCGGGGCGGTGGGGCACGGGGAGGAGCGGCTTGGCTTCCTGCTCCCCTGCCATCCTTGCTGCTGCCTGCGTGTAATTAACAGATAATTAAAAACAGAATGAGTTAATTGGGATTCATTTATGTGGCAGATGTTTTTAATTGAGGCAGGAAACGATTTACCTGTTTACATCAACAATGGCAAAGGCAGGCTGGTAAAACACGTTTTTAAAAATATCTTCCTCCCCCTTCCTAAAAAGAATTGAAATCGCTTGATCTTCCCCTGCCCCAGGCCTCCGCCCTGGGAGAACTGGGCAGGCCCTGCCTGGGGGAAGGCCCAGGGTGGGGTCGCAGCAGGGAGGTCGGCCAAGAGGAAACATCTGTTGAAGAGCTTTGCCTCCGAGCAGCCTGTTTTCCTTAAATTCAGAGAAAGGATGTGTTGTTCCAGGTTGTGAGGACATGGGGCGGCCTAGGGCTGCTCTCCAAGACGCCTCCCAGTGACTCCGGCAGTGCTGGCTAACGGAGCCCCCTGGGGAGGGGCCTGGCCTCCAAGAGGGCGGGAGGCAGCCTCAGGTGGGCCTGGCTGGAGGAAGACCACCCAGCTGGGGCTGGCAAGCAGGTGGGGTGGGGAGGGGCGGGGGACCCAGTCCTCCTGGCAGAATCTGGGAGCAGGCAGGTGTGGCTGCACCCCCAGGGAGGCAGTTGGCCACCTGTGCCTTTGGTACCTTTGGCATTGTGTGGTGGGGCGCCTGCCACTCCATCACCAGGCACCACCTGTGGCCATTGGAATGTAAATTAAGATGAAATATTCCTGGCCGGGTGCAGTGGCTAACGCCTGTAATCCCAGCACTTTGGGAGGCTGAGGTAGGCGGATCACTTGAGGTCAGGAGTTCGAGACCAGCCTGGCCAATATGGTGAAACCCTATCTCAACTAAAAGAAAATACAAAAATTAGCCAGGCGTGGTGACATGTACCTGTAACCACAGCTGCTTGGGAGGCTGAGGCACAAGAATTGCTTGAACCTGAGAGGCAGAGGTTGCAGTGAGCCAAGGTCCTGCTGCTACACTTCAGCCTGGGTGACAGAATGAGACTCTTTCCAAAAAAAAAAGATAAAATGTAAAATTGAATTCTTCCCTCATAGGGCCTCCCTTCTCATACTTGGCAGCCAGGTGGGGCTCCGGCAACTGTCAGGGCCTAGAACATTCCACCATTGCAGAAGCTTCACTGGTCAGCCAACTTTTGCGTCCCTGGGGTGGGAGGACGGCAGGCCTCTGACGTACAGAGCCTGACCTTTCACCATCTGGGGTAGGAGGAAGGCAGAAACGCCCACCCCAGGGAGAGTGATGAATCCATGAGCCAAGTGCTGGGGAAGCCGGTGGTTTACACACCAGCACTAACTGAGCAGTTACTGTATGCCTGCACTTGTGAACAACTTGAATTCTCATTAATGCTCATGCTATTTCCCGGGCTAACTCCCAAGGGAGGAGTTCCGACTGTCCCCTTTGTGCAGATGAGGAAACCGAGGCCCAGTGGATCGCAGTGTGGGGTGGGGTCTGACGAGACCCCCAGACCTGCATTGCAACGGCCTCCAGGGATTAAGAGGAGCAATGCCGTGACTTCGACAAGGCACCATCCTCTGCCTTTGCTTTTACAGTAACGTGCACCAGAAGCAGCTGAGGTCCCGCCCGGGCACTCGGCGGAGAGGCTGCTCCGGGTGGGAGGGAGCCCTGCCCGGCATGCCACGTGCCACATGCACAGTGTGGAGAATTCGAGGAGTGGGTGTTGCCCTCGTGATGATGGCCGTGGGCACTGGGCTTTTTACCTGTAAGGTTGAGTGGGTACTGGGCTGTGGGGACAGTGCCTGAGGCGATGCTGGTGACCCCACCAGCCCTGCAGGCAGGGTGGCCCCGGCTTCTCGTTACCCCCTGGGCCATTCGGCTGACCTGCCATGGAACTTCGGGGACATTTAGAGCGATCTCACGGCAGGAAGACAGAATGTTCTGGGCGGGGGGCTCTGGCCCGGGCATAGCTCTGCCCCGCCCTCCCGCCACCCAGCCGCCTGTGCGGGGCTCACAGGGGCTCACAGCGTAAAACCAGCAGCGCATTTTGGGGAGCCGAGCGGGCTGTGCGCTTGGAACTGAAGGCTGTGCCAGGGGTGTGTGTCCTCGACAGCGGGAGCCCCAGCCCGTCCGGGAGGTGAGAGAGGCAAAGGCCTCCCAGGGTGTGGCTGGTTCCAGGGGCAGCCCCGGCCCACCCGGCAAGGGCAGGAGAACCAGGCCCCTACCGATGCCCGGGCAAGAGGACGGGACCCACGCCATGGTGTAGACTTCTCCCAGGCCTCCCTTCACCCCCCGCCTGCAGGGGTCAGTGAGGGCCCAGGTCGGTGCCTCAGCGTCAAAAAACTGAGAAGCAAAAGGGGCACTGGTGTAAGGGTTATTGACCCATAGAGGAACGATGCCAATTTATTTAACTCCCGGATGAGGTTCTGCGGACTCTGCAAAAGAGGCCGGAGAAGTCGCGCCTGACTCCTCTTGGGCGTGGGATTTTATAGAGAATGAAGGCGTTTGATTGGCTGTGGAGAAACAGGACGTGGACAGGGGCGAGCTGCAATTGGTAGGTAGGCGGGATTTCCGGCGAGCGGGCTGTCCTATTGGGCAGGTTTTGGCGGGGTTTTCCAACGGCGGGCTAGGTGCCGAGTGCAGATTCTGGTGACGTAGTTTTCACGCGCGGTGAGGGATGGGCGTGTCCAAGCTCCGGGCTAGGCAGCCGGCCTTACAATTGGCACCAGGGAGGCCACGCTGTCTCCCCACGTGACTCACTCCCCGCACAGCCTGGCCACGCCAGCTCACGGGACATCCACGTGTGCGGGGGTAAGCCCCAGAGCAAAGCCTGCCCAGGCAGGGCCACTGGGGTTTTTGGGTTTCACGTGCACCGTCTCCTGGGGTCCCTCCGCACCCGTGGCCGAGGGCGTCGTGACCCCACACACTCGTCCGCAGGCGTGTGTTGTGTGCACTCATGGCGCCGCTGGAAGAACCTTCAGCACTTCGGGGAAACCATTGTCCATTTGACACCCGGGGGTGCACCGTGAGCCGTCAGACCCGGATTATTCTCTAGCGTCCACACGGGCAACAGCGAGACGTCAAAGTGGCGGCTCCTCTGCAGAGTTCAAGGTGATTTGCAGTCAATCGGCGCGTTGTTTAAACAGCGACAACAGGTTGGGGACCAGTTAAGCCTCCCTGGCGTCTCACTGGTGGCGGAGGACAATCCCCAGAGGGCCTGGCTTCCCAGACCCTCCGCAGACGGCTGGGCCATCCCCGCCAGCCCAGCGATGGGGCTCTGCTGGCTCTGCACGTCGGAGGGTCCTGTTCCCAGGGCTGTGCCACCTGCCTGTCCCCAGCATCGCAGCCTTCATGCCCTCTCTGGGCAGGCCCTCCCCTCCACCTTTGTCCCCTGGTGTCCCTGGCATCCCAGCCTCCGTGCCCTCCCCTGGCACAGGCCCTCCCCTCCACCTTTCTCCCCTGGTGTCCCTGGCATCCCAGCCTCCGTGCCCTCCCCTGGCACAGGTCCTCCCCTCCACCTTTCTCTCCTGGTGTCCCTGGCATCCCAGCCTCCGTGCCCTCCCCTGGCACAGGTCCTCCCCTCCACCTTTCTCCCCTGGTGTCCCTGGCATCCCAGCCTCCGTGCCCTCTCCTCCGCCTTTCTCTCTCGATGCCAGTCCTGCGGCCTTCAGAACCAGGTGTGGCATCGCCTCTTCCTGGAAGGTTCTCTGGCCCTCACTTGTCCGGAGCCAGCTGTGGGATGTCCTGCTCTGCACCCAAGTCCAGGCGCATAGCTGTGCAGAGGGCGGGGCTGGCTAAGTCACACCTGCGGCTCCCGCTTGGGGTCAGCCAACAGCCGATGAACTCCTTAGAGTCCTCCAGTTCTCCTCCTTTTTCTTTTTCTTTCTTTTTTTTTTTTGAGATGGAGTCTCGTTCTGTCGCCCGGGCTGGAGTGCAGTAGCACAACCTCCTGCCTCAGCCTCCCGAGCAGCTGTCTTTTTCTAAAAGAATTCCTGCTGCTGCGCCTCTCTAGTTACCGATGTGACGTGTGTGACCCTCCTCTCTGCCAGCCCCTCCACCTAGCAGTCAGGTCTCCATCCCCAGGGGCCACAGTGAGGAGGGGCCTGCGCCAGTGGCCAAAGGCATTTTCAAAAATAAATTGAGGATGTGGTGTGAAATAAAGGGCTGGGAGGCAAAGAGGGAAGGCAGAGGATCCCCCCACCCCTTCTTCCCTACCCAGCCCACCCACCCTCTCCAGTGGCCACTTGTTCCTTCCAGAGAAGCTCTGTATACAGATCAGACCACTCTTACTCAGGCCAGGGCAGTCTGCAGCCATTCCTGATGTCACAGTCCTCACTAGAGAAAATGCACACGTGAACACTCACCCCACAAGGACACACACACACATGCACTCACATGCACACACACGAATACATGCCTATGCACACACACACATACATGAATACACAGGTACAGCGACAGACACGTGAGTGCACACATACATGAATACGGTGCACATACAGCCACATTGACACGTGAGTGCAAACACGGATACACACACAAGTACACACATGCATACACATGCCCACATACACCCCCATCTACACATGTGTGCACACGTTATATATACATATGGATACATAACCATGCACACATGAATACAAACGTGCCCATGTACACACGCATGAATACAGACGTATACATGCACCCCCATAGACGTGAGTGCACACACATGGATACACACCCATGCATACACGAGTACGCACACGTGCACACACATGCCCACATACACCCCATCTACACATGTGTGCACACATAAACACATACAAATATATAACCATGCACACATGAATACAAACATGTGCCCACATACACACAGGCATGAATACAAATGTATACATACACCCACATAGATGTGAGTGCACATACACCCATGCACACGAGTACACACACGTGCCCACGTACCTGCACACATAAATACACACACATACACCCATATGTACACATGACTGCACGCATACAGATACATGCCCATGCACACACGAGTACACACACGTGCTCACATACACATGAATGCACACATACACCCACATAGACATGAGTGCACACACTGAGTATACACACATGCACCACATACATATACCTGAACACATGAGTGCACACACATTGTACACACAGATACACATGCACCCACGTACACACATGCATGAATACAAACCTACACATACACCTACATGTACATGAGTGCACACACGTACCTACATAAATACGCACACGTGCACACATGCACACACCCCTGATGGATGGATGGAGGGCACTGTGACGCTCCTGAGACAGGAAGGTGTCAGAGTGGCTCAGAGAGGGCAAGGCAACCAGCCACACAGCCCACCAGGGTCCCCACCCTGTGACCAGCCACACAGCCCACCAGATCCCCCGTTCACCCTGTGACCAGCCACACAGCCCACCAGGGTCCCTACCAGCGCCGTGACCAGCCACTACAGCCCACCAAGCCCCCCTCCCACCCTGTGACCAGCCACACAGCCCACCAGACCCCCCCCTGCCCTGTGACCAGCCCACCTGTCTTTTGTGCTTGCCCTCAGTCCCCCACCCCCGTGCTGCCTGTGGGGTTCCTGGAGGAGCTATCCCTCCTCTGAGTTGAGGTCAGGCTGGAGAACTCACTCAGACGGGCAGATCCAGGGAAGGAGGCCACTACCAAGCAGTTCCCCCACCCCCCAACCCACCCATGCGCCCCCAGCCCCATCTCCTCCCCACACCTTCACCTCCTCCTGTCAGCACCCCAGCACACACACCCTCACCCAGAAACCGTGTCTGTCTTCAGGCTGGCTGCCTTCCTTGGTGGCTTGGGGGCACAAGGACTAGAGAAGGGACTGGCTGCACCCAGGACTCCCAGGGTGCCAGGGCCAGTGCTAGGTGAGGACAGCGCCCCTTCCTCCTTCCGCCCCTGCCTGGCCTGGCAGCCACACCCTGACCCCCACCTGCCCCGGCAGCAGGCAGCCCAGATGGCAGGGCTGCCTCCCCCCAGGCTCTCAGGGCGTTGCTGTTGGCAGTGCAGCCCAGCAGCTGGGCAGGGAATGTGCTTCCTGTGTGTGGCCGTGGGGCAAGCAGGCCCTGGACATCTGGGTCCCATTTGTGGCCCTTTGGGGAGCAGGGAATATTTTAATTCCAGCCACTGAGCTCACCACTGTCCCCCAGCTTCTCCAGGCTTTGGTTGACCCCAGGGTGCCGTAGAATACCAGTCCCTGGGCACCCTCCTCCAGGTGCAGGGCAGACGTTGGGGCACCTTGGATGGCTTGGGGCTCTGGGCTCAGTGACTGGGCCAGGGCCAGGCTCAGACTCACCCTGGACGCTTGAAAACATGGCAAGAGCGTGGTGGCTGCGACTGTGTCCTGCCCGCCGGGGTCCACGATCACGCCTCTGGCCTTGTTGGCTTTCCATGCCTATGTTTATTTCCAAAGTAGAAGCTCTGCTCTGTCACCTTGTTGGTTTTCTCTCACAGGTCACCATGTCACTAGAGAGCGTCCTGTGACATGGATTTTGCAAGTAAATGTGTCCTTGCTGCCCAGCACACAGAAGTGTGCAGCCCGACAGGCTTCACAAAGCGTCACGCGCACGACCACAGGCCTGACCCACGAACGTTTTCCAACCTGCCCGCGAGGCCCCTGGTCCCCCAGTCCCCTCTGGTCACTCCACTGTTGGGAGCCACCACCCTCATCTCTAGCATCACAGAGTGTTGCTGCCTGGTTCTGAATTTTCTAGAAACAGACTCTCGTGCACATGCTCTGCAGGGCCTGGCCGCCGCGTCTGTGAGACTGTGTGCAGGGCTGTACTTGGCGGTACGGGTCCTTGTTCCTTGCTGTACTGTGTTCCGCTGTGTGGCCGTGCTGCAGCCGCGTGCCCCTCCACCTCGGTGCACCCTTGCTGAGGAGGTGGCCTGTGAAGTTCTTGCTCGTTGCTCTGGAGGCGTGTCCGTGTGTTGGCTCTTCTGCTGGTTCTGTGCCCAGGAATGAGCTGGCTGTGACCTCCAGTCAGCAGATACCAGGGAACGGCTTTCCAAAGTGAAGGTGGCCACGGCGTGATTCTTCAGGTTCCTTAGTTTCGCGTGGATAGCTCATGTGTCTGCCCAGCCCTCTCTGAGGAGGCACCGTATTTATTCTGTCTGTCATTCTCATAAACGGTGCTGTGATGAACAGCCTTGAAGGTCATTATTTGTGCACCCCCTGGTTATTTCCTGCAGGTGGAATTGCTTGTCCCAGCTGAGACCCCAGCACACAGGAATGGGGAGTGAAGTAGCAAAGGGCGAGAGCGTCCTTGGCATCTGAGGCCTGGTTTGGCTGGAGATGAGGTGGGTCACTTCTCTTGTCCAGCTTCCCAACTGCCCTTTCAGCATCTGTGGAATTTGGTTGTTGGTCTCTCAGGTCTCTTGCAGCTCTGATATGTTGAGATTCTAAGTACTGAAGTGTATCCGTCAGCTACTGCTGTGTAACAAGCCGCCCTCAAACAGTGGCTCAAAGCAACCACCATTCTTTGGCTCACAGTTCTTCAGGTTGGCAGTTTTGGCAAGCTCGGCGGGGTGGTTCTTCTGGGCGTGGCTGGGTTTGCTGGCCAGTCTGTGGTCAGCCATGGGTCAGCAGCTCTGCCAAGTGGCTGGGCCAACCCTGCCCTGCATGTGTATCATCCTCAGCGTGTTCACATGGGAGCCCCACAGAGGGCTAGTGAGGCAGCCGGCCGCTTGCATCGAGGCTCAGGGTTGTCTGACATCCCTTGCGCCACATCCTGTCCCCAGCCAAAGCAAGTCCCCCAGTCAGCCCAGATCCAGCGGGGGCAGGGAAGTGGGCCCTGCCTCTCCACGGGAAGAGCCGGAATCACATCCAAAGGGCAGGGGCTTTGGTGGGGTGGGAAATCGAGGCCATTAGCCGGAAACATGCCTCGCAGGGTTCCAAATAGCTGTGACCGGCACCCCCAGCCGCTGCCACAGGGCACACTCGAGAAGCTCTTGGTCCTCAGACGCACCCACGGGAGGGGTGTTCCCCCACTGAATGGATGAGGGGAACGGCTTGCTGGGCTCGCAGGCAGAGGGGCAGGCTGTGTCCTGTGAAAAGCCAGCCGAGCCA